GTTTGATATCTTTTGTGATACTTTTCCTGATTCTAAAATGAGTAGGTTTTATTTTATTATTTTTTTAATATATTTATCTTTCAGAGAAAGTATTTCAGCTGATGGTTTTTCTTCTGGGTAAGCTTATTTTCAGTATACGACAGAATTTTTTCCGGATAGTCTGAAATTTTAGTTTTAATCTTCCTAGATATGATGCTAATCTAGGAATGTAGATAATTTTCAAATCCACATGATACTGAATTTTTAAATCATTTTCCAAGTTTCGTTTTAAAATATAGCTTTAAATTAAGTCCACTGATTACATTAATCCACTCTTCTATGTTCTTATTTTCTGTTTACAGATCTGTCCAGTTCTGACAGAAATGTACATGAATATCCAGGAAGTGCATTTCATTTAGTTCTTCTAGTTTCATTTTTAGTATGAAATACAGAGTACGTACAAATGAGTTTAAGAAAATATTTATCCATAAAGTATTATATTTAAAGAGCAAAAATAAGACAAACATTCATTCACAGGTCAACAAAAAGAGAGAGCAATATCAATACTCCTAAATCCCACTATATACGCCACAGCCTGGTGATAAAACTCTTCCCCCAGGAACTATTATCCCAAGTATTATGTTAATCAGTCTCTCTTTTCTTTTCTCTGAAACCACTATTTGTATAACTCCAAAATATTTGGCATTTAATTTTTCCCGATTTTGAAATGGAATTATGCTTTGATTTAGAATTTAACATAAATGACTTCTGTGATTTGCTTTTTTTTTTATTTTTAATTTAAAAAAAAAAAAACCCTTTTATTGCGATTTGAGTAAAAGTTTACAGAGCAAATTCATTTTTCACTCAACAGTTCATACACATTTTGTTTTGTGACACTGATTGCACTCTCTACTTTCTAACAGCTCTCTTCCCTCTTCCTCCCTGAGCTTACCTCTTCCCTGTGTCCTTTTTCCTATGTATTCCTGTCTTCTTCACTTGATCCTTGCACAAATGCTCCCCTTCTGATCTTCCATCGTTGATTATTCTAAAGAGCACACCTCCCTCATGTAATTATTCACTTTATGGAAATAACAGTTTACATTAAAAATGCATACAAAGAAAGATACTATAGTACAACTCCAATTATGAATATGTCTTAATTATAAATGGAATAAAATATCAGATATGTTGTTGTTGTTGTTGTTAGGTGCCAGAGAGTTGCTTCTGCCTTGTACTGACCCTGTGATGCCCGTTCCTGCACATCCTCACAATCGTTGTGCTTGAGCTCACTGGTGCTGCCACTGTGTGGATCTTTTTCATTGAAGATCTTAGTCTTTTTAGCTGAGGCTCTACTTTATTAAGCATGATAAGAAGAAAGTCCTTTTCTGGGACTATTCCCTCTGATAACATGTCCAATGTATGTGAGATGAAGACTCACCATCCTTGCTTCTAATGATGACTCTAGCTTGTCTACTGTTTGGCTAAAGGTTAAGCCACAGGAGTGAGTTCAATTCCAGGCCCAAAAGGTGACTAAGGGCTACAGTCACAGGGGGCTTCAACAGTCTCCATGAAGCCAATAAGCCTGATCTTTTTCTTTATGATTTTTTAGTTTGGTTCTACAGTTTGCTCCCACTCTATCTCCAATTCCGATCCCTTTCCAAGTGGTTAACAGTGATAGCTGGGCACCACTGAGTTCTTCTGGTCTCAGGATCACACAGGCTCAGGTACCCATGGTCCATTAGTCCCTTGGACTATCTGTTTCCAAGTGATTTGATTTTTCTTCACCATCACCTTTGTATTTTTAAGAATTATATACACTGCGGAAGGAAGACTGGGTAATCTACTTCTGTAAAGATTTACCAACTCAGAAATCCAAAGGGGGTCGCTGTGAGTCAGAATCAACTCAATGGCAGAGAGTTTGGTGGGTTTTTTGTTTTGTTTTGTTTTGTTTTGTTTTTTTATACACACCTACTTGAAGCTATAAGGGGCTCTAGTAGCATAGTGCCTAAGGCACTTGACTACTCACCAGAAGGCTGGTGGTTCAAACCCACCAGCCACTCCTCGAAAGGAAGGTTGGGCAATCCCACTTGCGTAGTGATACTGCCTCGGAAACCCAAGGAGGGGTCGTTATGAGTTGGGGCCGAATGGACGGCAAACAACAACAACAACAACAACAACACTTGAAGCTGTAACTCAGTTATCTTCACTACTGAGTAATATTGTATAGATATGCTACAATTTGTTAACCAATTTTATAACTGATGAATATTTGAATTGTTCTAATATTTTGCCATGTTAATTTTGTAATATTATGGCCCATGAGGCAAATGCAGACCAAGGCTGTTACTGTATGACTTGGGAGCTAAGAATGTTTTTTCCATTTTTAAATGGTTAAAAAATGTAAGTATCACTCATATTATCTTTCTAAAATTGTCTGTAATTGGAGCATTCAGTCAATCAAGTTTAATATAATGACTAACAATCTTTATATTTACATGATCTAGTAATTTTACAGGAGCTCTGGTAGCATAGTGGCTAAAGCACTTGACTGCTAACCAGAAGGCTGGCGGTTCAAACCCACCAGCCACTCCTCGGAAGGAAGGTTGGGCAATCCTACTTCCGTAGTGATACTGCCTCGGAAACCCAAGGAGGGGTCGCTATGAGTCGGGATCGACTCGACGGCACATAACAACAACAACAACAGTAATTTTACATTTAATATTAATAGAGTTTTCACCTCCTTTTTCCTCACTTTTGCTATTTTGAATAGGTTGATTTTCATTTCTTTTCCTCTTCACAAATTTGAAAGTGAATTACTCATATGAATTATGTAGGTGATATGTTCTTTAAATCCAGCAAATTTCCTTCTTTTACCAGAATAGGTAAATGCTGTCTGGGCTAGAGACAGTATTTGTAGATGACTGTGCGTATTCTCTTTTTAGTGGCGTATGACATCATGTCTCCCTGCTTCCTGTGCTGCAAATGAGAACTTTGATGCTGGTTACTCATTTTGCCTTTGTAATTACCTTTGCAAGAAGCCCTGGCTGTGCACTGGGTAAGGGCCAAGCTGCTAGCCAAAAGGTAAGTGCTAACCAGCTGCTTCATGGGACAAAAATGTGACAGTCAGTCTGCTTCTGTAAGATTTACATTTACAGCCTTGGAAACCCTACGGGGCAGCTGTACTCTATCCTGTTGTTGTTGTTATATGCCATCCGGTCAGACCTGACTCACAGCAACCCCACCTTGGGTTTCCGAGGCAGTATCACTACGGAAGTAGATTGCCCAACCTTCCTTCCAAGAAGTAGCTGGTGGATTTGAACCGCCAGCCTTCTGCTTAGCAGTCAAGTGCCTTAGGCATTACGCTACCAGACCTCCACTACTCTCTCCTATAGGGTCGCTATTAGCCTGAATCTGTTCGCTGGCAATGAGTTTGGTTTGATTTTGGATGAAGGAATCAACTCAACAGTAACTGGTTTACGTTAAAGTGGGGAAGATTTTTTATTTTGTTTTCTTTAAGCACTCTCACCTAAAACCCCGTGAGGCCTTTCTAAAATGAGATTCTGGTGTTTTTTGTTGTTTTCAGCTCAGATATTCTTCTTCTGTTATCTGTATAATAATTGCCTTTCCTTCCCTATTGCCATTTCGTTGTCCTTCTGTTGGATCTTCTTCATGATTTTTCTTGGATTTTTGCTCTATTATTTGAGAATTCATTTGGGCTGTTTTTTCACACTTGATCATCTAGGACACCAATCTGAGTCTCAACAACAACCCTCTCCAAATTAATTCCTCTACTGAAATTTCCACTTCCAAAATGAAGCTTTTTGTTGTTTTTGTTAAGTCTACTTAAGAAGGTCTTTTTAAAGCCTTACATGAGCATGTTTACTAACTATTTTGTTCATTTCTTTTTGTTATTCAAATTGTCACCTATTTGCTCTGGGTTGGCTTTAAAAAAAAAAAAAAAAATCCCAAAGATGTCTTATTTTTCTGTTCAAGGGTTGTCAGTCCACCTCCATGTGGCCATCTTACATGGCAAGAAACAGGACAGTGTCTGGTCCTGTGGGTTAGCAGTGACTGTAACATGCATGTTGTCATTCCAGAGACAAAACTCAGGATGCAGGCCCTCTGAACTCTGTGGTCCCTGTTCTCTTTCAGCACTCTCCTCTCAGAGATAGAAAGGTGGTTGCCTTCTCTTTAGATCTTCCTGGATTCTGCAGAAATCAGGGACACCAAGCACAGTCATGTGGCACATGATGCTCTTTATCCAGTGGGGAGCTGTAGCCAGCTCATACTGGCTCTCGAGCACCAACTGTGAAATTTTTAGAAATTTTGCGAGCCAAATGATGTTAAATTGGTTGCCTGAAATCACTCATGATGGGAATATTTTATCAGAGAAACTAGCAAAATTATACAAATGAGGCCCCTCCCACCAAAGAGACAGTTGAACATTTAGCAGCACACCATTACCTTCAACCCCACAACAGTCCATGATTCTCTAAAGATCACTCTCTCTCCGTCTCTAATCTACCACATTCTAAGCCTAATTATGACTGCTTTCCCTCTACCCAAAAAAAAAATTTAAAAAAAAGTTTCACCTGTTCCAAGCAGTTCTCTCAGGGCTTTCCCCTCTACCAAGGTTTTTTTCTAGGAAACCAATGAAGCATTAGAACCCATTCATACCTCCCCAGTTATCACTGTCACCCCAGACAGCTAAAATAGACAAGTTTCAGTTGGAGTGGGAAGGGAGGAGGGAGTCTGTCAATCCACTATCTACCTAAAATCTGTATCAACTATTTCTGAAATTAAATAAATAAGATACTCGATGAGAACTAAAACTCTAGCCAATCAGAGAAGAAAGTCTACCCTTAGGAAAAAGAAGTAATTTCTTATTATGAACATAGCAACATAATAGCATAAACACTGTAGAACTCATATACCTTTCTCTAGTTCTACTGGGAAAAGTTCCAGCTTTTCTACACGCTTTTCAAGTTCATACTCAGCTGAAGCAGCCACAGGGTCAACTTCATCATTTCTCCTGTCATAGTCTTCATTGGAGTATGTGCTGAAAACCTGTAGTAAGAAACCAGGAAGGAAACAAAAAAGATAACATAATCCAGAAAACACAGTTTTCCCAATTTTAAAAAAAAAGCAGCTAGGAATTCAACTAAAGTTTCAAAAAAAAAAAAAATAGTATGAATTTCTTCTAAACATTTTTTTTTCTTCAAAGGCAATTAACATGTTAAGAAAATGAAACTGAAGCAGAATAAAAATGATTTGTTAACCAAAAAAATTTATGCATAATTCTACCACTTTTAATAATTTAGGAGACAACAGTAGTCACAGAATACATTATTTTCATTGTCCTTTAAAAATTCAAAACATACCATAATATATGCATTACTCTACTGGCTCCTGGTAAAACATCTTGAAGTTCCCTAAGGAAACAACAGCACTGAACTTGCTTTATCCTATAATCTATACTAGCCTTGAGAGGTTGTAGTGTGCCAACACTATATTTCAATTATAATAACCCTTCCATAGCCATCGTCTCACATTCATGGACTAAAGCAATTATGGGTCGAAAATATTTAGGAAAACAAAATCCATAAAGTAAAGCTTCAATTTTCCACATGCTAAGCACTATAATTAATCCATGCAGATGAGGTGATATGTAGGCATATCCTGCCTGCTTTAGTCTCCTGCCATTTCACAGATCCTCAAACTCTTTGCAGCATTCTTTTTTATTACTGACCTCAGCTTGTTCATTTGCTACTTGTGTTGTGTGCACCCTTTGTTTCTGTGAAAAAATAGCTCCTAAAAAAGCCATTATATGATCAAAGGAATCCCTCAAGACTATGTCACCCACCACATAAATAAAACAAAGGATAAGAACCACATGATCATATCAATTGATGCAGAAAAGGCATTTGATAAAATCCAACATCCATTCCTGATCAAAACTCTCAGCAAAATAGGACTAGAAAGGACATTCCTCAACATAATAAAGGGCATCTATGCAAAACCAACAACCAATATTATCCTCAATGGAGAGAGACTGAAACCATTCCTCTTGAGAACAGGAACCAGACCAGGATGCCCGCTATCACCACTGATATTCAACATTGTATTGGAAGTCCTAGCCAGGGCCCCAAGGCAAGTAAGGGAAATCAAAGGCATCCATTTGGGTAAGGAAGAAGTCAAACTATCCCTATTTGTTAATGATATGATCCTATACCTAGAAAACCCAAGAGACTCAGTCAAAAATCTACCGGAACTAATTGAGAGATTTAGCATCGTAGTAGGATATAAGATCAACATCCAAAAATCAGCTGGATTCCTCTACACCAGCAAAGAGACTGCTGAAGAAGGAATAAGGAATTCAATACCATTTACAAAAGCTACCAAAAAAATAAAATATTTGGGAATAAATCTTACCAGGGACACAAAATACCTGTACAAAGAAAACTATAAAAAACTACTTCAAGAAACCATAAGAGAACTACATATATGGAAGAACATCCCATGCTCATGGATAGGAAGATTGAACATTGTGAAAATGTCAATTCTACCCAAAGCAATCTATACATTCAATGCAATCCCAATCCAG